GAGAGAGAGAGAGAGAGAGAGAGAGAGAGAGAGAAAGAGAAAGAGAAAGAGAAAGAGAGAGTATAACAATAATAATTATAGAAGAGATCATACATTTGAGACGGAGTAAGTAGGCACGGGAGGCTTTGGAGGGAGAGGGAAGGTGTGAATGATTATAAACATAGTACTCATGCATGAAATTCACAAAAATACACATTTAAAATGTTAAAAAGGAGTGCAATCCAACCAACAAATCAATGACGCTCATTTAAGACTTCTGACCTCAAATTGTCAGATATTATATTTACACAAGTGAGGAAATCTGTTACTATAGCAATAAGAAAGGAACGCAGATTTTTTTGGCAAAAAAAAAATCCATTTATTTGGTCTGTTGAGAAGATGAACAAAAGGTGCCTAACACAGAATAGATGGGGGCTGATAAGTGATAGCTCCCATCCTTTTTGGTCATTTTGGAAAATAAGCATGGATTTTTTTTAGAACAAAACAGAACAGCAACAACAAAAGACTTATGTTTAATTATGTGTGAGGGAGTGGAGTGATGCTTGAGGCCAGAAGAGGGCATTGGATCCCCTGGAGCTGGAGTCACAGGCAGTTGTGAGCTATCCAACCCACAGAGAGAGCTGGACTCAGGTCATCTTAAGAGCAGCATTCTCTGTTAACTGCTGACCCATCTCTCCAGCCCCAAGGCAAGCATGGCTCTCTGGGTTACTATTTGAAAAAGCTTGAAGAGCCAGCAGGCTCAGAAACACCTGTCTACTGACGCAGTCCTTTCTCAGGTGGCCAAACCACAGGAGACTGACACACCCACCTTTCCTACCGCACCCCAGTCTTGGTTTCTCCCATGTTTTTCTTCCCCAAACCAACCTCTGACCGCCTCCCTTCTCTTCTCCACTCTGGTCGGCATTTTCTCATCCTAATTCTGGCCCTTGGAATTCTCCCATGTGGTACTAATTTGTTCTTTGCCTCTTTTCTCACCTGGTCTTACTTAGCCAAGAAGCCAAACAGTAACCACCCACTTCTAAAACTCAGTCACAAAAGCATCTTTGGGAAGCATAGTCAGGCACTGGGGCAACATCCCTTGCTCTGAATCTCTTCAGTTTCCTTCTGGTCCAGTTAAGAGTTCTTGCTAAACATCTACCTGGTCTCTTCCTTTCTCTCCACAGCTCTCACAGCTTCCCCTTCTATTAACACTGGATTCAGTTCATTTGCCATTAAAATCCATGTTGCTATAGTTCCCCTTTAGATTCCCTGAAAGAAAAAAAGAAAAGTCTCTTCCCTGTTCTTTGAGCCCAGCTAACCTCTATCAAGAAACTGCTATGTGACAAATGCTTACAGAGCCAGGGCACTGCTGGCCAGTGACGATGTTGAACTTGGCCTCTCCAGATATTTGCCCTTTACACTCTGTTTCTAGTATCTGAATTTCTATCTTTCAAAGTCGGTTTATTTGTGTGTCTGGTTTAGAGAGCAGCCCCGCTGGTCAGGATTAATGTCCGTGCATACCAAGAATGAACTTTACAAGGTAACTAATCCGGCTGTACCAGTTAGATTCTTCCTGGTAGAGCCTTCTAGACACTGTGAGTCCTAGCCCTCTGATGCAGAAGCATTACTGCAGACAAACAAGGGACATTTCTAAGCAGGAATTCCACAGGATGGGTGGTGTCAGAAGATGGTGTAACAAGTGCCCAGAGTCTTCTGTTCCTTTGACAAGCATTGATGAGTGTGTGTGTTCTCTGAGCCAAAAACACTCATACGTTTTTAACTCCTTAAATTTCCACAACCTTTCAAGATGAAAAGAAATGGAAAAATATTTAGGGTTGTTTAAATTACTTAGGTTATTAATACATGCCTTATAGAACAATATCAGAGTTAACATTTATCAAGACCTGGGTCATATAAAAGACTTGAGCTGAAGGAGATGGCTCAACAGTTAAGAGCACCAATCATTCTCCTAAAAAGGCCTGAGTTCACTTCCCAGCACCCATATCAGGTGACTCACAACAGCCTGTAATTCCAGCTCCAGGAGATCCGAAACAGCTGGTCTACACAGGCATCCACATACAAACAGTAGAACATACACTCATAGGGACACACACACAAACACATGATTTTTAGAAAGACAGGAAGAGGAGAAATAAAGCAACAAAAGCAAGACGCACCTCCCTGCAGATCTTGTCCATTAACCAGGAGTTCAGGCAAGCGGGCTAACTTGCCATCTAGTATTCACTTGGCTCTTCTGAATCTACTCCCTCATCTCTCCTCTCCTTGGAATGTCTACTGCCCACTTTACTTTCCTCCTACACATCATACCTCTACTGTCCTGATCCAAAGGCTGACTCTACTTTCCTCTACTCTCCCGATCCAAAGGCTGACTCTATAATCAGCTGGCCTGAAGCCTTTCACACCCAGATCCCACTCATGTATTTACACATTCACTTACATATTATAGCTACTGGAGAACTTAGCTTCTCTCCTAGCACAAAATCCTAGAATGTAACTGTCTTCCTCATCCATCTTTTCATACCCCAACATGCAAATTGTATCATTTAATACCTTTAGACTTAGAATGTCAATTGGTTAAAGTGTCGAGGGATGGGAACAGCTTTTCTCAAAGTGTCTCAAGTGCAAAAGCCAAAATGATTGACCCAAACACTTAACCTTGTGTTCCTTCCAGAGAATCCTTAAGGAGACAAGAGGTCCATGTTTGGTTGCATCTGGCATAAATGCTATAAATAGTTCCTAGGAGCTAGTATAAGCAGCAGGGAAGAGTGTGGGCCTCAGAGTCACACAGACCAAAGATGCCACTGAATCTGTCATTGCTGGTCTGTGTGGCCTTACAGGTACTGCTTCACCAGCTAGTTGGGATTTGATTTCCTGGTGTGCAAAGGGACCTCCTCATCTCCCACATCTTAGTTCTTGTTGGGTTCTGGGAATCTGATATATATATGAGGTTCCTAGAAGAGTGCATTGCAGAGCTAAACATCCCTCTGTCTCTGCAAGTGTCTCGTATGACAAGGAACTTCATTATGTGAAACCTATATTTTTTTTAGGATAACAAAATTTTTTAAATCAACCCACAGGTCATAATGACCTCAGCCAACTTTCTTGGTTTCCCTGTGGTTACAGTTGGCCTTGTCCAAGGATGGCAGGGCCAGTAGCAGGGACTCTCAGTATGTGTCAACCTGATTATCACCATGATAGGTCTGCTCTATGTGCTCCTGGTGACCTTGAAGGATCTCAGTACCTCAGAATGATGAGTCTGGTGTCCTTCATACGCTAAAGGACCCCTGAAAGGCACTAGTCAAACTCTGAAGGCCTTTATTTTGTTCTTTATAAAACTTCCGTGACTGCTGACCTTGGGTATCAAATTTCCACCATCACTAAAAGCTCCCATGGCCTTGATTTGGATGCAAAAAAAGAAACAGGTGATGTCATGATGTGATGACAGTGTAGAAACTGAAGCAGTGTTTGCTACCTGCTTCCATCAACCTCTAACATCCTTAACTGTGTCTTCAGCTTGTGGGAAACCTTGAAGATGGCCAAAGATGATTCCACTGTCCGTTGCTTCCAGGGCCTGCTGATTTTTGGACACGTGATTGTTGGTGTAAGTCACGAATATTTTTCAAAAAATCATGTTCTTCTTGTAAGCATAGTTATTAGATTAGCTAAAAGTGAAAGTTTAAGAAAATGGTATAGTTACTGCTCCCCTTTATACTGCCTTCATTTTAAGAAATGTGATAGGGACTATACTAGCTAGAATCTTAAAACAGTCATATATAATTACCTATTATGACAGAAGGCCATGGTCAACTGTAAAGTAGACATTTCCTTTCCAATTTTTAAGACATAATGACTATTTAGAGTCATGTTCACCATGGCCAATGTCCAAACAGACCTGCCAAACTTTCCTTTATGCTTCTGTCCACTTTCACCTTGGCTTGACTTGGGGACTGTGCTATTGAAGGTGCTGGGACAGATAGTCTTTTGTACAGGTGTGAGAGTGACTCAGAGCACAAGCTGTGTGGAGATGAGGATAAGGAAAGAACACTAGTCAAGGAATCAAGAGAGCTGGTCCTCGGCTCAGTTCTGATCTGCCTCTCTGTGTAGAGCTGTGGATGAGTCATCATCATTCAGAGCCATGGTCCCTCATCCATAGAATATGAGCACTGGGGTGGATGAGTCATCATCATTCAGAGCCATGGTCCCTCATCCATAGAATATGAGCACTGGGGTGGATGAGTCATCATCATTCAGAGCCATGGTCCCTCATCCATAGAATATGAGCACTGGGAGGACAGTCGCTAAGATTCTACAACCACTGTGACGGTGGCCAGGACACTTCAAGTATTACAAGAGAGGAAGAGCCACATTGAGACAGGATAGGGAGATAACTTTCATCCAAGAAGACACTGTCTGAGTGGATTGTATCACAGGGGCTTTATGGATAGTCTGAGATTACCTAAATCTTTTCCAAAATTGCAAACAGAGTTATATGTGGAAGAAAGGATCAAGGAAGAGGGTCTATGAAGAAGTAAGCAAATAGTTGTTGGACCTCCTGGCAATGAGGAATCCATTGCATAAAACCTCTGTAAGGGAAAGGATTCAGCTCTAGGACATACTCTCCCCCCATCCCCTTTCCCAGTGCTCTGCTCTTGGCCACCAGCCTGACAGATCCACTCGTGACTTGTTCCAGATGTGTGGCATCGCCCTGACTGCAGAGTGCATCTTCTTTGTATCCGACCAACACAGTCTCTACCCGCTGCTTGAAGCCACCAACAACGATGATATCTATGGAGCAGCTTGGATAGGCATGTTCGTGGGTATCTGCCTCTTCTGCCTGTCTGTTCTGGCCATAGTGGGAATTTTGAAGTCCAACAGGAAAATCCTCTTGGCGGTAAGACCTTACAATGCTCTTTGAGCTGGAGGTGTAGCTCAGTTGATAGGGTGCCTGCCCAGCACATATAAACTCTTGGGTTCAAACCCAAGCACCATATTATTTGGGTGTGGTAATTCACATCTACAATCCTATAGCACTCTGTAGGTAGAGGCAGGATGTTCAGAAATTCAAGGTAATCCTTGACTGCATAGCAAGTTCAAGGCCAGCCTGTACTACAGGAGACCCTTTCTCAAAACAACAACAAATTCCCTGCAGTTGTTTTCCTGGGCTGATTTTGGTGAATTCTTTCTTCTCTATTGAACACAGAGCTTTAGTTTTCACTGAGCTAAGTGGAAGAAGAGTCCCAGGTGAGTGGGAAAAACAACAAAACAAAACAGCAACAGAAACTGGGGATCCCAGTTGTAAGATCATCCATGCAGGAGGTAAAGATGCCCTCCATGATTGCAAGTTCAGGTTCTAGTAAAAAGTGAAAACGAAAACACCTTCCGGTGGTCTAGTTGACTATGTGGACCCAATGTGTTCTCAGCTGCTGTTTGCATGCGCTCAACATTTGCAGCTAGCAATTACATGAACAGGAGAAAAGTCACATGGAGGGCTTTTTTATTAGATTCCCCACCCCCTTGTAATAGGTAGTTTTAAGTATTGTTTTAATATTAGTCAGACATTAACATGCTAAGATACAAAATATAAACATGAATTTTTCAAAGCAAGCAAGAACCTCTCTAAAGACTTTTGAGTTCAAGGCCAATGGTTTTTGTATGATGGCCTGCGTTCCCACACTGTCACTGGCTCTGCAGTACAGGAACCGTGGAAGACCCTGAACAGCACCGGTGTGAATGACCCATTCACACTATTCTGTGGTCTCGAGCCACTGACTCGATCATGCTCTGCCTTTGCAAATGGAAATGAACTGTTAGCCAGCTGGGAAGAAATTCTTCCTTAGGCCTAGCTGTCCACCTTCGGCTCCTGTGCCCCAGACACCAATTTATGTCACTGTGACTCCACGCACATACACGCCCAGCCACACACCTCTCTCTATCCCTGCAGTAAATCTCCCCTAAGTCCCACTTCTACAGAAGAAGAAGCTCAGCCACTTAGGGAGCTTGTTGGTTCACTTCTCTAAGGTAACCGTTGCCCTAGTGCCTGGGAATGCAGAATATTTACCTTTTCTGTTTCCTTTGGGTGAGTTAGTTCCAGGGCAAAGGCCCCATTCAGAGAGTGGAAAAGGGCATGGAGGGAGGAAGGAGGGAAGAGGGAGATCTTCCTGAAGACAACTTCTACTGCACGCTGGGTTCCTTCTGGGCCAGCTGTATGTGCCTGACAAAGCAAGAGAACTGAGCTGGGACAGAGACTCCTCTATGAAGCTGAAGGAAATGCCTGTACCAATGCCTCCTTTCTGGCCTGATTGTAGAGGGTATGGAGGCTCTATAAGAGGACACCAGAGCTCTTGACAAGAAGCAAGGCAACAGCCTCTATGGAGATTGTTGTGGAGTCTATGATGTCTCAGAGGGTCCTTTTTCCTCATTTTTCAAGAAGGACATTAGGGTCAACATTGCATGTATAAATGTGTGCAAGGCAGAGATCAAGAGGTTGACACACACTGAAAGGCATCTGCTGTTCTGCTGTTTGCCAGCCAGACTGGAGGCGGGGTTGTGCAGAAGCTGTTCATCCACAGTGACTTGCCACCTGTACACCCTTGTACACAGCATAGGCAGCACACAGAGAGCTCTGCTCTGCCCTCACCAGAGCTGCTATCACAAGGACATGGGTTTGTGACAGATCACCAGTAAGTCTCCATGCCTGAAGGTTGCCTGCTCGTTACAGATGAGCCTGAGTAGGAAAGACACAAGGCACTAAACATGTTCTGTCATCTTTCCCTGGCTTCTGTAGTTCTACATCTCCAGCAATCCATGAAGAAAATGATTCCCACTTAGAAGGGATTTACAATGTAAGGCGTCATGTATAAAGCACTAAGGCCACTGAGCATGTGTGTGTACACGAAAACTCTGAAACACCCACACATTCCTTCATTGCTTATATTAGCTCCACCAAGTTAAAATAGAAATTCATGATGCTGGATGAGAAAGTGCTAAGTTGAATGGCCATGTCTCTAGAGATAAGCAGAGAACTGAGCTGACACTCATGTACCAGCCCCGTTCCAAGAGATCCAGCTGATCCAAGAGAGTTTGTACTACATAAGTGGCTTGTATAGCACATTCAGAGGAATGTGCTTAAATCTCACAGCAATCACGTGGTGAGTTTCAGTTGTAATTCTCTGTTCTCGTCTGTTTCCTTCCCAGTACTTCATTATGATGTTTATAGTGTATGGTTTTGAAGTGGCATCTTGTATCACAGCAGCGACACAACGAGACTTTGTGAGTATAGTCCCCAAAGCACAGAACAAAAATGATAATAGCACTGGCACCGTAGCAACTGACATGCATTAAGTCCTTGCTGTGTGCTGGTCATGCTAATATGCACACTATTAATACGAGTGCAGTTTTACTTAATACTCAGAAACCTCAAATGGGAAGTATTGCTAACTTAAAAGAGAGAGGAGGTTCCTTGGGTGGGAAGTGGGGGCGGGGGCATTAAAAGCAAAGAACATTATTTAAAGATAAGCAACTGACAGGTGACAGCAAGACTTCTGATCCCAGCAAGCCTGGTTCCCAATGCCCAACCTGTGATACTAACATTGTTCATCACGCGACCACGCTACAGCCTTCCTGCATGTTCTGCAGGAACCTCGTGGAAGACACAATCCTGAATCTTTCTTGTTCCATTTCTCACCATTTCCTTAATCTATTCCATCTTAAAATGCTTGTCTATCCTTGGCATGCAGTGGTCTCTTCTATGGAAACCCAAAGTAGCCCCAGCCAAATGAGCTTGGTGCCCGAGGTTAGCTTCCCTCCATGAGGATGTTCAGTGTCCTTGACAACCAGCTCTGCAGAAGACTTTGCCTTTCTTGGGAGCAGGTGTGCTGACACTCCATCTTGTGTCGTCCCCATCCCTGCAGTTCACAGCCAACCTCTTCCTGAAGCAGATGCTGGTGAGGTATCAAAACAACAGTCCCCCAACCAATGATGACGAATGGAAAAACAATGGTGTTACCAAGACCTGGGATAGGCTCATGCTCCAGGTAAGATGTGTGGTTCTGCGGTGATCCAAAGCACATCTGAACCAGTAAGAACCTGAATGTGGGTGGGAGTGAGGTCAGTGCCTCCAAGGGCTTCCTTCAGTTAGAGACTTGTTCTTGGCTGGGTCAGCAATGCCTCTTGTTTACTGGCGAGGGTGCGGAAGGGGAATGGGAAACACTTGACTCAGTGAGGCCTCTGGATTCATACTTGATATCAAGCTATAATGCTGATTAGCCTGCCTTTACAGAGTGTATGTTAGAAACTTTAGATTCATAGTATGTTCTGCCTCTTACAATGTTAGGTCTCCCTTACATTAACAGGAAAAGGGGACTTTTCTCCCCCACAGCAAACTCAAATAGTGGTATGTGCCTGTCTCACCTTTGTATATCTCCTATGAAGAATTCTGCTATGTATCAGAAGATATGTTTGGATTTAATCACAATTTTGAGTGCACATCATTCCATACATCCAAACCTATTCCAAATACCATCAGAACCCCTAGTCTTCCATAATATTGCCCCATTTTATCTTTTGTGTATAATATGAGTCAACTCTTCATTGGCCCCAGCACACACACACACACACACACACACCTCTCCCACACAATTCCCTCTCTCTCTCTCTCTCTCTCTCTCTCTCTCTCTCACACACACACACACACACACACACACACACACCTCTCACACACACACATTCTCTCTCTCTCATACACACACACATAACTCTCACACACACAGTCTCTCTCTCTCTCTTTCTCCCCCCCACACACATTCTTTCTCTCTTTCTCCCCCCTTTCTCTCTCTCTCACACACACACACACATTCTCTCTCTCCCCCCTCACACACACACACATTCTCATGTACACACACTCACACATATACCAACCTTTCTACTCCTTTCAACTCTCCCTGCTTCACTAGAAACCTGGCTGCCTCCTAGTTTCCCTTATCTGTCCTCTTATGCTCATGCGCCCTAAGACCTAGAAATTGGCTAGGCTGCATGGCTTCTCTATTCTCTCTCCCCTTGAATCCTTTCTTGTTTAAACACTTGAAGTTTGTGCCATCAGCCTGTAATCTCTTTATTGTGGCTTTTTACCAAACACCTTCCAGTCACTGCCCAGATTTCACTGGGGATTTCAGTATCACCAACTATGTCCTCGTCATTCATGTTCTCAGCATCCTGCCTTGGACAAGGCTTCAAAAACCACATAGACACTTGGACAACACCTGTTCTCTCTTCTGCACCCCACAGATCTCCTCCCCTCATCTCAAGACACCGTCTTCCACGGCCACAGCCAGCATGCCGTCACCAATAACTATGCCACCCACTTTCTGACAACCTTCTATAATTTCTTTCATTTGCCCCCAATATCCTCATTTCATCATTTTATTCCATTAGAATAAATGATCAATTTATTTGTCTAGTTTAATTCTCTAGTTAATTGTCCATGTTTTCCTTTCCTATCACCCTTTCATGCTCTCTTCTTGCCATCACTCTCTTTGGTCCTCTCCTTTACTCCATTGTGTGTCTATTTTCACCAGTCTTTCCTACCCAGTCCCTACAGAAGTGAATACAGTTTTTGTCCACTCCTCCCCTAAGGGCTAGATATTACTGAGGAAAGTCCCCCAGTTGTGCTAATTTAAATTTATGACTCTAAAGCTCAAATGGGCATTCTCTGTTTCCTGGTATATATTTTTTTAAATCTGCTTTGTCACTATTGCATAGATTTTCCTTTTTCCACCTCTGCCAAATTCCTCCCACCCCTCAGCCTCAGCAATAGCTGCACCTCTTAAGCAATGCCTTAAGAATATAGAAGCAATCAGATGGAGTCCATTTCACCTCTGCCCATCCACTATCTGCAGCGAAGCCTCTTCACTAGTGACAAACAGATTGCCCCAACCCAAGTCCTTGGCTTCCATCTGAGTTCCTCTGCCTTTCTTCAGCCTACTTGGCTCTGACTCACCAGTTCTCTCTAATGTCAGCCTACAAGAACATCTTCAAGAACTTTTGTCCAATGTTCACCCATTATTCTGCTCCACTACTGTTCTGTTCCATGGCAAATCTCAGAAGAGAAACCTCTGCCTGATGTTTCCATTTTCACACTTTTCAGCTGCTTTTATCCAACTACAATTGGCTTCTGATCCCAGGGCACTACTTACAGGACATGACCCACAGCAATAAGTTCCTTCCATCCTACCTACCCCAATGGCCATGTTGCTGTCCTTGTTTTTACATTAGTCACCTTGAAGACCCCTTCTTAGTCTCCTTTGTTGGGTTTTCACCCCTTTCCCAACTCAGTGTTAGAGTGAAACGAAGCTCAGTTCTGGAGCCTCAACTCTTTCTGTCTATACTTTCATCCTCATCTGAAATAAACCTGTTCAAACGCAACTCATTTCCCCAAGAATGCACAACACTAAAACACAGAATGGAGGGCTAGAGAGATGGAACACAGAATGAGTTAGAGAGATGGAACACAGGATGAGGGTGAGAGAGATAAACACAGGATGAGGATTAGAGATGGACACAGAATGAGGGTGAGAGAGATGGACACAGAATGAGAGTTAGAGATGAACACAGGATGAGGGTTAGAGATGAACACAGGATGAGGGTTAGAGATGAACACAGGATGAGGGTTAGAGATGAACACAGGATGAGGGTGAGAGATGGATACAGAATGAGGGTTAGAGAGATGGACACAGAACAGGGTTAGAGATGATACAGAATGAGGTGCTGGAGAGATGGCTCTGTCAACCAAACATCTGCTACACAAGCTGAGGACCAGCATTCAGTCCCTAGCACTTGTATAAAAAGCTGTATGTGATGATATTTGTATGTGACACCAGCACTGAAGAGGCCGAGACAGGGGTCCTGAGGCTCACTGATGAGCTCCAGGTTCAGTGAGAGATCTTGCCTCAGGAAACAGTGGAAAGATTGAGAAAGACACCTGATGTCAAGCTCCTGTCTTCACATGCACTTATACACACATGCTTATACACACATACACACAACACAACACACACACACAGGCACTCACTCATGCACGTACGCACATACCCCACAGAATGATTCTTTTTCCTGGTTAACTATTTCCTATATCTAAATGGCAAAATTGCACGCTATTTCAAGATTTGTAAAATCCATATCACACCCTTTCCTTATCATAAATTCTGCTAAAATGTTCCAGAGAGGAAGTAAAAATTACTTTAGTAGAATGTATGATAAGGAAAGGGTGTGATATGGATTTTACAGCCTCTCTCTCCAGGGTTTCAGAGTTATCAGGGCATCAGATGTGTGTCTGCTGATGTCCTTTTCTTATGTAGAGGGACAGTTGTGTGCCACCAGCCCTGTAATATTTTTCCAGTTTACTTTCCACTCTATAAAACAAATACATAGCCAGGAGGTAGCAGCACACATCTTTAATCCCAGCATTCGGGAAGCAGAGACAGGCGGACCAGTATGAGTTTGAGACCAACCTGGTCCACAGAGTGAGTACCAGGACAGTCAAGGCTATGCAGGGAAACTCTGCCACAAAAAAAATGAAATAAATAAAACTAATGCATAATTACTCTATGAAAATGTTACAAATACAGAAGAGGAAAACAAGAATAATTGCTAATAATTTACTACTAGAACTTTTTATTTTATGATTTTTTTACTTATTTTTAAACATAATTTTTTAAACTTACTAATTTGTTATGTATACAGTGTTCTGTCTGCATGCCAGAAGAGAGCCCCAGATCTTATTATGGATGGTTGTGAGTCACCATGTGGTTGCTGGGAATTGAACTCAGGAACTTTGGAAGAGCAGTCAGTGCCCTTAACCTCCGAGCCATCTCTCCAGCCCCCATTTTATGATTTTTAAATGATTATACTTCTCTTGTGTTAATATATCTTGTTATAAATAACAATAATAAATGCCTATTAAGAGTTTACTATGAGCTAGGTGCTGTACCAAATACATTAATTATATTAACCCTGATCCTCACAAAAAGTCTATAAGGTAGGTTCTATATTCATTTCAAATTTATAGTCAAATGAAACAAGCCTTAGGGTAGTGGCTCTCAACCTTCCTAATGCTGCAACACTTTAATACAGTTCCTCATGTTGTATGACCCTCCCAACCATAAAATTATTTCGTCGATACTTCATAGCTGTAATTTTGCTACTGTTATGAATCATAATGTAAATATCTGATATGCAAGATGTCTGATATGTGACCCCTGTGAAAGAGCCAGTCCACCCTCAAGGGGCCGTGACCCACAGATTGAGAACCACTGCTCTAGAGACTTACAGTATTGTGTCCATTAATGGTTGGTAAACTAATAAACATACAAACATTTTGGCAACTTAGGACAACCTTGAGCTCCTGTTCAGAAATAATTTAATAATGTAAGATATGGTATGTTTTCTAGTACTTTCTCAATGTCACCTGGTTGTGACATTGATGGCTTTGGTATGGGCCACAAAGATAACATGTGTCTTTTATCCTCTGGCAGGAACACTGCTGTGGTGTAAATGGCCCATCAGACTGGCAGAAATACACCTCTGCCTTCCGGGTGGAGAATAACGATGCCGACTATCCCTGGCCTCGGCAGTGCTGTGTCATGAACAAGCTTAAAGAGCCTCTCAACCTGGATGCTTGCAAACTCGGAGTGCCCGGTTATTACCACAATCAGGTAATAACCCCTCTGAAGACCTGGCAGGAAATGCTTCTGCTCTTTTTGAAGAAAATGATAGTCAGCTGTGAGTACTGTGGTAAGGGAGTCTACACATTTCCCCTGCACCTCATGTTATCCGTCTTCTCTGTGAGTGCTCATTTAGAATCGTTGCAATTTTAATTTTAGTAAAATTACTGCAATGGGAGGATTTCCGTAGTACAAAGCAACTTGGTGACCATGAAGACGATTTGTGTAATGTTTAGAATTGATTTTTCTGAGAAATATTTGTATTAGACAAAGGCTTGCAAAATGCAAATTGGAAAAGTTGCTATACAAAGAGAATAGTAGTCAGTTCCCAAGCAATGGCAGCTGCTGAGGTCAGAGGTGATGACGGGCAGTGTTTAGCAGGATTAGATTGGTGATTTGGGATAAAATGATTTACATACAAATGAGTTTTATCAAAGTGCTTCTACACTGATGAAAGTGACCTGCTGGTTATCGAAAAACACTTATTGAGGTCTTCCTGAATGCCAGATGTTGTGTCATGTGCCACCACAGAGACTATAATGCCTGGAGCACTCAGAAGTTGGTGCTGGCTGTGCTCTGTAGTCTATACATGAGCAAGAGATGCTAATCGGACCTTGCCCAAGCTCACACAATTAGTAAACGGCTGTCAGGCTTCAACCCCAAGCCACATAGCTTGAAAGCACAGAAACCACATAAATAAAGGCTTGAAAGTAGTCCCCCAAAGTGTTGGTGAGCTCTCTCAGAGCCTGTAACCAGCCTCAACTGACACAGCACACTGAAGCACTCTGCCATGCTTTGGGAGTGGTCACTGTGAGGAAGCTCAGCAGTATGTCAGTCTGTCAAATAATTGAGAAGCATTAGGCTTTTTCCTACAGAAGTAAATGCCACAAACCACACATTTGGAGTGAGGGACACCACTGTTAATACTTGACAGGGTACCTGGACTACAATTGGATGCATTAATTCACAAAGGACATGGGAGAGATACAGATCACTTGGTGGCAGTGTCCAGAGCAATCCCCACTGAGCTTTATAGCAACCTTGTTATGGCATGGTTCAGTTAGTTATATTCAGGCTATACTAGAAATTAAGTGTATTGCTTACAATCAGCATAAAATGCAGCTATCACTCAAACGACTCATAAAATGTTTTCGGCATGTCCACATTAGAAGTGGCTCATACAAACCAGTCTTTACTGAATTACAGTCATGTAAAACAGTGTCGTCTTTTGTTGAGATGATATCTGCAGAGTTCTGAATTAAGTGAAGAGATGGGGAACTGGAGTGTGAGGGAACATTCCTAAGCAAAGGAAACAGCCCGTGCAAATACTGGAGCATTGTTAGCTCATCAAGGAGACAAGCTTTACAAGGCCAGAATGATTGTGAGATGTCTAGAAGGGATTGGGTAAATGTAGAGCTGGTGAGTGGACTCAGATGTGCCAGGCCCTGTCCCCTGATTAGCTGAATCAGTACCACAGAAGGAGGCCCATGCATGTTCTTCTGGAGATGGGTTTACCCCTCAAGTGAGGCCCTAGAGGGGCCAGAGTGGGACAGGAAACACTCAGGAGTGTTTGCATTTGTAATATTTTTAAATAGACCCTAAAGGATTTGCTTAAGTATTGAACATTGCATAAAGAAATTAAGGAAAATTCCAGGAGTTTTTCATTTGGGCACCCTGCAACATATAGAGTAAGCGAGGGAACCATCAAAGTACAGGGGTGGAAAAGAGCATGCATGTAGCTTAAGAAGGGGAGGACCCCAAATCACGGGAGACAGAAGAACGTCAAGGGCACACCTGTAGCCGCTGGGTGGAACTTAAACCTCATGGCCAACCTAGAATAGTTGTTGAAATTTGGAAACAAATCAGGCACACTTGCCTCTGGACCTTTTGGTGCACAGAATCTGCCTGGCTTCTGCATTTCCTGGATGTTCCCTGTGATTCCTAAGGTTATGGTAGAGTCCCTCAGATGGGAACCCTGGCATTGCGTGGTTGTCAACCATTAATCCGACAGCATCAGTTCTTCTCTCTGCTCTGGGCTCTCCACATTAATGTAGCTCATGCCATCTTCCCAGGGCTGCTATGAACTGATCTCGGCGCCAATGGATCGGCATGCCTGGGGAGTTGCCTGGTTTGGATTTGCCATCCTCTGCTGGACTGTGAGTATCCCTAGCACATTTTGTTTTGTTTTGTTTTTCTCCATTTTTATTTAAATTAGAAACAAGATTGTTTTACATGTCAATCCCAGTTCCCTCTCCCTCCTCTACTCCCCTGGTCCCTCCACCTAACACCCTACCTATTCCATATCCTTTCTGTTCCCCAGGGAGTGTGAGACCTTCCATAGGGGTCTTCAGAGTCTGTCATAGCCTTTGGGATAGGGACTAGGCCCTCCCCTGTGTGTCTAGGCTGAGGGAGTATCCCTCTATGTGAAATGGGCTCCCAAAGTCCATTCTTATGCTAGGGATAAATACTGATTCACAGAGGCCCCATAGATTGCCCAGGCCTCCTAACTAACACCCACATTCAGGGGTTCTGGAACAGTCCCTATGCCGGTTTCCCAGCTATCAGTCCGGAGTCCATGAGCTCCCCCTTGTTCAGGTCAGCTGTTTCTGTGGGTTTAACCAGCCTGGTCTTGACCCCTTTGCTCATTACTCCTCCTTCTCTGTAACTGGATTCCAGTTCAGTTCATTGTTTAGCTGTGGGTGTCTGCTTCCACTTCCACCAGCTACTGGATGAAGGCTCTAGGATGGCATATAAGTTAGTCATCAATCTCATTATCAGGGGAGGGCATTTAAGGTAGCCTCTCCACTGTTGCTTAGATGGTTAGTTGGTGTCATCCTTGTCAATCTCTAGTCATTTCCCTAGCTCCTGATTTCTCTTTAAACCTATAATGGCTCCCTCTATTATGGTATCTCTTATTTTGCTCTCCTCTATTCTTCCCCCTACATAAGCTTCCTGCTCCCTCATGTCCTCCTCTTCCCTTTTCTTCTCCCCTTCTCATTCTCCTAGCTCCCTCTCCCCTCCCCCCCATGCTCCCAATTTACTCAGGAGATCTTGTCTCTTTCCCCTTCTTCAGGGCTCGGCACATGTTTTAATTCAGAAAGGGGCAATAATGAGAGACCCTGAGAAGGACCCTGGTTATTTCAACTACCCTATATAAAGTCTGGGAACTAAATCTTGCAGCCACAGTAGTCAGGAGACTTCTAGCATCAGGCCTAGGATGATGAGCTCCCTTGAGGTGTGGGATGCCAACCTCCCTAGTAGGGAAAGAATGTGACTACTATGTAAACCCTTGTTCTGGATGCCCCAGATGAATCCACCTAGGCTTCTTGGTGAACTTCAGCTGTGCTCCATACTGAAGCAATTCATTGCAACTAGACTTCAAGGCCCATTCTGTCACCTCTCTAGACAGCTCCCACAGCCCAACATTAGTTGCCTAGCTCCTTCAATGGTCTCATCACTTCCTGCTGCCTCTCTGTGAGACACATACAGTGAGGTCAGAGCTCTAGCTCTCTGGCTGCACATTAACTCCTCCTAAACAGGCAGAGCCTGTATGCATCACTCTGTAGGTCCTTCAGTAGATCCTATGGCTGGGCCTGGGCACTTTGTTTTATTTTGCTTGTGTTTGTGTTTTGATTTGATAATTTTTCTAGATGATTCTAAATTTCCCTCACAGCTGAGAACCATGATATTAGGGAAACAATCCCAAAGTTTGATACTGGTTATTCTTGAACGCCTTGAAATATGCTAAGGATTCAAAAAAAATATTTTTTTCTATGTGGCCAGTATCTATTGACATTTACTTCCACTAAGCATAATGACTGAAAAAAATTAATATTTGTTAATTTGTTTTAAAATAAGATAATAAGCCAATTACAAGTTCATATAAACATTATAATCCTGGTAGGAAAAAAATAACTATTTTACAAAATGAAAAATTCATGAAGGAATATCACTTTGCTGGTTCCTCCAATCCTGTCAAAGTCTGGCTTCATAAAAGAAGCTGGGTCTCTTGTGTGTGTTCATTCATTCATTCTGTGCTAACATGTCACCAGTGTTGAAGGACTGAAAGAAAGCAGATCCTACATAACAGTGTATGGTTAAAAACAGGAATATTTGGTAACCTTTCTGAAGGTGAATATCACGAATATTCCTTTGAAACCATGTGCTCACCTCTATAAGCTTCTTCAAGATCAATTGCAATATGGAATCTGAAACTAGATTAATAAAGGACTTTTGTACTATTTGCATAAATCTTGGATCTATGACTAAGCCTGTAATATCACAAACTAGCTGTCTGGGGAAATGCTGCCTCATTATGTTTCATAACACTTGCTGATGTTTGTTGATTTCTATATGTGACAGCAAAGATCATATTTATTAATACTGTCACACTGGAAAAGATCTCAGATAGTCTACTATCAAGCCCATGGCAGTTTTCCAGAGATCTGAGTTTTGCTTGAAAATTCAAATTTATTATTGGCACCATACATGGTCCAGTGTTTTCTATGAAGTAACAGATTAATTCTGTAAATTTTGAAGAAAATATCTGCACAAATAGCCAGGCTTAAATAAGTGTAGTTTCTTTTAACTTTTTTTTTCAAATAAAAATGGTGTTTCGAGAAAAGAATAGGTCAGTGCATAACCAATTACATATGTGTTTTTCTTTTGCACAACTGTATTTCAGTAATCCATGGGATAGAGTATATTTTTTATCATATGGAGTATTAAAGAGATGCATAATCAAAGGTCAAAGTACTATACAAGCAGCAGCTTTGGCTGCTCCATGACGGATGATCAGAGATAACACTTCTTTATTTTTTTTTAATTTTTCAAGACAGGGTTTCTCTGTGTAGCTTTGGAGCCTATCCTGGCACTCGCTCTGGAGACCAGGCTGGCCTCGAACTCACAGAGATCCGCCTGCCTCTGCCTCCCAAGTGCTGGGATTAAAGGCGTGTGCCACCAACGCCTGGCTGAGATAACACTTCTTGCTTCTTCCTTTTCCCCACAAGTGCATAGCAGTGCAGAATACCATGAGAACTAGTGCAGTTCATTGCCTCGGCCTCCATTCTCTGAGACTTGGCAGTCTTACCTTATGCTGATTTTGCACCACCAGTGCCCATGTAAAAGACACTGAAGAGGCAAATGAAGTCCTTATACTTAAATATTCTTGACCTCATTGCCCCCCCAAGGGTGTTTGTGTATTCTGCTTTGAAAAGTGCTGAGTGAGAGGGTATTAAACGAGGCATAAGAGAGAAAGCCGTTCCTTCAGGAATTCGTCACTGTTGAGAAATGAGGTCCCCATGACACGTCCGACGCTGCCAGAGGCAGAAGGCCAGCTGTTCTGTGTTCCCTAGTACCTAGCATAACACAGAATAAAGGCTCAATTTAAATGACAACAGGGAAGCGTCCATTTGTGCTGTGTTACCAGAAACTGTAGGACATCTAAAGGCTTTTCAGGATCATAGGGTTGCCAAGTAACCCTATGCCAAGTATGCCTATTGGATACGCAAGTATCCAATTCTAAATTATAGATATTGTAAAACTCCTGAAACTCAGTAGAGGAGGGGATAAGAACCAGAGATGTTGAGGTCTGCTATGGATGAGACACCATATTCGATAGTCTTCATATGAAACTCCCTCGAGAGCAGTATTAGGTCTGGCCAACAAGGAGCCATACTTGAGAACTCCTAGGCACAGCCAGTTCACTTCTGCTCACAAAGGGCTCTCTTGTTCTCCTGTCATGAGCCTTTTGTAGGTCATGTATCAGATATCCTGCATATCAGATATCTATATTATGATTCATAACAGAACAAAAATACAGTTATGACGTAGTAACAAAATAATGTTGTAGTTGGGGGGGGTGGTCACCACAACATGAGGAACTGTATAAAAGGGTTGCATTGTTAGGAAGATTGAAAACCACTGCTCTAGAGCCTGTTGGGTTCCGTGTCTTCACATTCTTCAGAGAATTTTGAAAGCAATTGTGTCTGATGTATACAGTCATAATAAACATTAGATCCAGTTATTATTTCATTGTCTCACTCACAGCTCTAGTTCTGAGGTAGAGAGGGAAGGTATGAAGCTTATTTTACACAGAGACTGGGGCTCAGGAAAGTAAAATGGGCTGACTAGATCCTTGGGAGTGGATGGCAGGTCTGGAGCAGTGTGGACATTCCAAAAGCACACCTGAGTAGAGGTCTTGTGTTCTGTGGTATTCTTCAGAGGCAGTCATTCAAGGGGGCTGGCATTTTAGGAGGAATGGTTTTAAGATAAGAAGGAGAAAGTGACCCAAGGAGCTAGAGGTCTAGCTCAGTTTGGGGACTGAGCACTCCCTAGCACTCCCAAGCCCCAAATTATATCCCAGCACTAAATAAACCAAGTATGGTTGCCATGCCTGTAAACCCATTACTTGGAAATTGGAAGCAGAGGAGTCAGAAGTTCAAGGTCATCCTCAGTTACATAGCAAGTTCAGGGCCAGCCTAGGCTATGTGAGATCCCATCGGGAAAATAAACAAATAAATAAAAGTCAAAGATAAATCATCTATACAGTTTCTAACTAGAAACAGTTCAACAGGACGGTACTTAGTATTGATAACAGGAAGGAAGAATTTTCCCAAGGCTACGTCAGTACAGAATTGAGAAGAGCACTTAAGCAGTCAGAGACAACGCAGGAAGTGGTGGGCACGTGAGGGAGGGAGAAATTGTTCTGAGTGGCAGATTGTAAGCTAGGCTCTGACGTGGAGTGAACACAGCAGCAGCTGGCCCTTTAGATTACCATCACTTAAATGATTGCTAGAAACTCCGTGTCACCTAAGTCTAAACAAAAGGAATGTCATTGTTTTATATTAAGGTAGATGTTTTAAAAATCCTGTCTTAATCATTTGTTTTCCTTTTTCCCATTTTAATTCTAGTTTTGGGTTCTCTTGGGTACCATGTTCTACTGGAGCAGAATTGAATATTAAGCACACAGTGTCCCCGCCATACCTCCCTCCTCGGGTGACTCTGGATTTGGTGCTGGAACCTGCTATTTCGTCACACGCCCTCTGTGTGCTCCACGGTGACATATGCTTTTCTCCCTCAAATGCCAACTCAGGTGGAAGGGGCTTCCTTTAGGCTCTCTGGCTGCTGCAGTCCTCAATGGAAATATTTCTCATCCTTGCCTAACATTCTGCAACATATTTATACACTATGAGACAGAAAATTTGGAGAATGGAGATGACTTTCAATCCTGTTCATGTTTAATGAGAGGGCACAATGACATTCAAAGGAACCTGCCTCACCATCGTAAGCTGTATTTAGTAGAAAATTCAAGAAAGGAGCCTGTATCTCTTACTATTTATTCAACCTTGTAAGGCTTTTGTTTGTCACTGTATAGACTGGGTGAGAGAAGGAGGGGAGATTGCAGAGCTGTGCCTCTGCCTCTGGTTCTGCTATAGCTTCTGTCCACACTAGTGGTGATCATGACACAGCCACCACCTTTGGGACAGTCCTTCATTTTCATTTAATAAATATTCAGACTTTCTCTCCTGCCCTGTAGAGTGACATGCATTTAACAATTCATTCTCCATTTAGTGAAAGTGTGTAATCTTTAGGGACATTGGCACTGCCCATTTTACTTTGCCCTCAAAAGTTTCTACATGAAGATCCAAGCCTACAAATTGGAAGTCGTAATTTATAGGGACTTTTGTTTGCTGTCAAAATAGTTTGGTCCGGAAGGAAGTCCAGACAACTCACCATTGTTTGCTTATCTATAAATAAAGAAACCCATAAAACACACATGCTCACTTTCTTTTGATTTCAACTGGTCGTGCTTGAGTCTTAACTAAACGGAGTTTCCAAAAGAAGGGCCCCAACTGTGGGGGTTAAAGTGGAAGAAGTGGGGGACACACACCTGTGGGTTCCTGCTGGCTGGTGCATTGTCCACGTGGACAGGAAACAGCTGGAATTCTCTCTCCTTTTTCTTTTTCCTCCTGCTACATTGACCTTTGAAGCTTCTCTATACTAGGAGGCAACATATGTGATGCTATCAGCCCAACTATGTTCCTTATGCAGAAAACACACCCATCACTTAGGAACAGTCAACCCAGGCACTGGAGATCCTGCCTCACCAGTTCCCTGTGGTTAGGCAGAACACTGGGGCAAAGGAACAGTCAGAAAAGAGGAGTGGGCTCCCTTGCAGCAGAAGCCCGCTCTCTGTGATCCCCAGCACATCTTGCTGCCAACCCTCTACCTGGCTTTATCTCTCTGAAGAAGGCATCTTGGGTGCTAGGATAATACCTGCACTTGGCACAGAAGATCCTCTGTGTTTCTTAAAAGGAGGGAGGAAATATGTGGAATTAAACTTTCTCCTTATCTTTCCTGTCTGCTGGTGGTGTGTGTGTGTGTGTGTGTGTGTGTGTGTGTTTATGTAGTGCTGGGGATTGAACCTAGAGCTCTGTGCATGCTAGGCAAACAAGCACTCTGACCGCTTAGCTATATTCCCTACCTCCTGGTATCTGTTGCTTTCCGCCATTAACTATGTTTCCCAATGGGCTCCACTAGATGAGTGATTCTTGCCCAACCCTACCCCTGCCTTCGCACTCAAGAGATTTATGCTCCAAAATGCTGTCAGCTATAAAACCATCATCTCCTTGTGGTTGAATCTCAGCCTCAAAAGCACTGTGTAGAAAGTTCCAGCTCCATTACCCACAGGAAAAGACTTTGTTCCTCCCAAAATCAAGGAAGGAAAGTGGCCAAGGCCAGTGCATAAGAGGGACAAACTTTAGTCTCTCTCTGCAGCTATGTGACATTTTCAGGCCTGAGCTGTGACAACTGTGACTACTCCCTTCAAGTCACCCAATAATTCCTTCACTGCTGCTTCTCACATCTGTCCCCACCACTTTCCCTGGTGCCTCTGGCTCCTCTCTCCTCTTCAAGTTCCTGAGACTGGAAAAAGGGTGGCAAGCCTCAGGCCTCAGGCCCCAGCTCAGCAGGGTCCAGGCTCAGCCCTCCCAAACCAGGGAAAAGAGACTAGAGGACTTGGCTCTGGGAAGTAGGAGGGCTGCTGTCCTTGAGAGCCACCCAGACATCCCATCTGTGAAACCTTCCTTTTCTCAGTCATTAGCCTGTCCACCAATTATCACCAAACCCCAAACAAGTCTGGGGCAAGTTTTATTGACTGCAACACAGAAAGGTCATTCTGTCTGGTTGGCCTTATCATTAAGGTCTGGCAGCTTGGTTACATTTAACGCTTCAAAGCACACTGCTTGAATTTGCCAGCCCTGGAACCTGAATCAGGAATCTACTTCTGTTTGAACAGAACAGATGCTCTCCAGCTATTCCTAACTAGTATGTAAACTTGAAAAACTACGGCCTCATCTAACCCCACCCCTACCTGTCTGATTGACAAGCAGTGCTGTGGTGGGAGGACTAGAAACTAACCACTAACCAGCTTCCTGCTATAGAGTAAAGGATTGCTCTCCATCTGAATCTTCTTTCTCTTTCCTGCTTCAGCTCGCTCAGCTTCTTATCCACTCCTAGGAGACAGGCTAGGGAACATCCAGTAACCACCAGATAAGCTGCTGAGCCTGTTTTCATGCATGTTTATCTGAAGGCTCAAGTGGTCATATCTAACAAAGATAGCCAGAAAAGTCTTAGACCCGTGGTTCTCCATCTTCCTAGTGCTACAAACTTTTAATACAGTCCTTCATATTGAGGTGGCCCCCAACCATAAAATTGTTACAGTTACAAAATTCATAACTATAATTTTGCCACTGTTATGAATCACAATGTAAACATTTGATATGCAGGATATCTGATATGTGACTCCTGCAGGGGTTGTGACCTATGGGTTGAGATGATAGCAATTAACAAGTAGGTACCGAAGGGCTCCAGCCCCTCCCTGGGCTTTGGACTAACTGCATGAGTCAACTGGCACAAGGGTGGCATGAAGGTCCCAAAAGGTTACGTTCACCCGAAGAAATGTAACAAGTCATTCACTGAACGGTTTCCTGGTTGAAAGATTAGCTGAAGAAAAGTCAGAGGCATATTTCAATGGTTCACAACATTTTGTTAATGCAGATGTCTATGACTAACAACAAAAGGCAGGGGGTTTCTATACCACATTCACTATATACTGCTTCCATTAAAAAACTGAGTCTCCTGTCTGTTGGTGATGTACGCCTTTAATCCCAGCACTCGGGAGGCAGAGGCAAGCGGATCTCTGTGAGTTTGAGGCCAGCCTAGTCTACAGATCAAAGCTACACAGGGAAACCCTGTCTCCAAAAACC